CTTAATTTTGGCGGAAATTTCAGCGTTAATTTGTGATTTCACATGCATATAAAAGTCAATACAAGAAACAAGTCCTTGAAAGACCCACGATTGTGCACGAAATCCTTGCGGTGAGAAACGCGCGAATTACGGTCTCGCTCGCCGAACTAAGCGGAAGAGGGATTACTCGTAGTCCATAGTTACGCTCCTAGAGAGTGGAAAAATAACTTTAAGGCATTAGAAGCTTTACTAAGGGTCAGGGATTCAAGAATGATCGCGAAATTCTTTTTGAAACTAACTTACGCTTCACTGATATTATGATAATCGACAGTCGTGACACCTACTGTTTGTTTTCTGTTTCATTTAAGACACATCTAATTTACGTATTCATTCATGCCTGTTATTAGGTAATTTGTTTTTAAGTGAAAAATATGTTGACAGGACTAAAGCAAATTGAATGCTAGTTTATAAAAAGAGTAGGTTTTAAACCTTTAATTTCATTTATTGCTGAATACTTTCTTATCTCTTCTAGGAGAGAGCGCAGGCCAGTTAAAGTTATCTTTGGTCATTCTTAAAAGGTATGTACTATGCGTTAATTAAAATAAAGTGACATGCGGAGTTCCGTCACAACCCACGGGGTATAGCAATTACAGATTCAAAGATGATTTACTTAATATTCTAAAAACAAGCGCGGGGAACAACCTAGATTATTTCTTTTGAGAATATCTTCCTTCGGCATCTAATAATTTGTATTAACTTAGATGTTACGTTTAGCCTGAAAATTCTACACATCTTACAAATTATACTTGACAGTGCGACCAGTGTACTACAAGAATCCCCACGCAACTTTATCGCTTGCGTCTGTGTGCTTTTTAAGCTTGAAACAACCAGGGACAATTATTCCAATTGCTTTAGCTAAAGGGTTTTATTGGTCAGAAATAACGGGTATAAAGAAGACATTGCCGGATGGTGAACACATCGATGGAGTTCAGTTCGATAACGAAGTTGGAAGTTCGAGTTCGTCGGTACTATTTTTATAATTGCTTTTCAAATTGAAGTGAGTCGTCTTTTCATTGCAGATGCTGAGGAACGTGAAGTGGTGTTTTATGTTCCTTTTAGTCAGCTGGAAAGTCGAAGCCGGCAGAGGACAAAAAAGTGGAAGAGAAGTAAGTCCCAAAAGCTGTGAGGAGGGAAGCCACNGGGGTTGTGTTAGTCCGAATGGCAAAGGACACCTGGAGTTCGCTGACGAGCAAGCTCCAATAGCACCATGTCGACATACCGGACGCAAACGCCTTGTTTTTAAAATAACTAGAAAATATTATACGACTAAATGATCGTCGACAACGAATTAATTATAATTATGAAACAAGAGAGGATGTTAAGAGAATTAATCCCACTTATCCATGTGCGCCTTTTTGTTATGGTAATCCTTTTCAAGCTATTTTTAGAGATAATACATATTATTATTTTTACGTTTATCTGTTTTGTCAAACTGAAGAGAGAAATCTTCTTTTCATTGCAGATGCTGAGGAAACAGAATTGGTGTTTTATGTTCCTTTTACTCAGTTGGAACATAGAAGCTTTCAGAGGACAACAAAAAGAAAGAGAAATAAGTCAAAAAAGCTGCGAGGAGGGAAGCCACGTCCTGAACGAGTGCGAAGAACGCTGTGAATGTCGGGATGGCCAGCTTATTAATTGCTACCGCGTGCGAAAAGAGTTTACTAACATGGAAATCAACCACAGACGACGTTATATCAACGCGTACAAGACGGCTTCAATGAATCCTGCTTTCAAGAAAGAGTATGAAAGATTGGTCACTTTGCATGTTAATACACCTGACGACCTCCTTCATCACTCACCTCGCATATTTTTCCCGTGGCACCGATGGTTCTTGGTTGAGTTCGAGAATCTCCTGCGCAGAATCGACTGTCGTGTGACTTTGCCTTATTGGGACTGGAGCCGAGTTGCTCACTACTGGTGGAATGCATCTGATAGCAACGCGATTTGGAGCTCTGGCGACCACGGGTTAGG